AAGATTCTGGTCCAAAGACTTCTGTTCTTGTTTTACCTGCATTTAGAATCAGAAAGTTAAGAGTCATCCAGGTTTTATATGTTTTAGAAAGGCCTGTAGACTATACAGTATAATAGGTTAGTTCATCAGGATTCATAGACAGATATAGCTGAGTAGCAATAGCATAAGAGTAGAAGTGAATCCCATGCTATTTAATAATTCTACCTTTCTGGAGCATATATATGGTATAGAGAATTGACCCTAGCACTGTTCCCTGTGGTACTCCACAGGTAATCCACAAGAATGAGAAAGATTTATCACCAATGTGAACTAACTGAAGTCTTTTAGATGCAGTGCAATTATTAATCAAAAACGGAAAACAGAAGAGCATATTTAGCAATCACTAGGGCAATGTTATCACCATTAATAACCTAAGAAGTGATGACCTGAGAAATGAACAGGTTGGCCAGTGATTGGGTAAACTAGGTCAACCTGCTGATTACAGCAAACCATGTTCTTCTTTTAGGAGTATCTTTAGATAAGCCACAGAATGGCAGGTGCATACAAACACAGAAATTCTACCAATCAATATATTAAGGGCTTATTCTAAGATACATTTTAAATGTTCTTACTAATAATCCCTTCAAAGCAACACATTTGACTTTTCTTGTTCCATTTGACTTTGCAGCTGGGAAAATGAAACTGTTGCTTTGTTGTTTTCATGGAGATCAGCACATGTGGTGGAGAATTTGATGATCAGAGCTGACACAAAAGTAGAATCCTTATTGGGACTTTAGCCACAGTGTCTTAATTTGATCAGATGCAGATTCTTGATGCAGATTTAAAGTAGATGTAAAAAATGTCAAAAATCATTACATCAGAGTTAGCATCTGCTTCACAAACAGGAGGCCAGCGTATCCTGTTTTTAAATGGTTGCTTGACATCCCTATTCATGGATTTTCTTATTATGGATTATCTTATTGTGAGTGAACGGACTCAGAGTTCATCAAACTAACTCACACCAGCCAATGAGAAAACAGAAGCCTTGGAATTTCCAATTGTTGGCTAGATCAATTCAGAGTTGAGGATTTGGGTCTCAGTTTGAAACAGGCCTCTGATCAAAACGTCTCTGTAAATAACGTGTTTTGAATTTGTGCTACCTAAATAAACTAAAGTGAACCATTTTAAAGTTAAGAGAATTTTGACAGAAATACCAAGTTTTGTTAGTACTGAACTTGAATAAACCCATATGCATTCAGTGAGATGGAGGCAGAAAGATGACTTAAAGTATTTAACAAAGTTAAATGAAATATACAAACTGAATTGTCTCAAAATTGGTATGGCATTTGTGCTTCAGATCAACTATGATGAGTGGAAGAAAACTGATAGCTATTTAATGGTAGGACATTAGCAAAACAACTACAAAGGCAGGGAATTAAGGAGATTTGACTGATTGCAAAGAGACAATTCCCGATAAAATTTGAGGAAAATAGCCAGAGGGATAAAGAAAATGACCAGAAAAAGAAACTGAACTGAAAACTGGAGAGCAAGAGAAAATGCCTAAATAATGTCAAGAAAATAAAATTGGCTCGGTCTGAATACACCTTAAAGATAAACCCCAAACATCAAAGATGTTAAAAAAAAGTAAAAGAAAAAAAGTTAAACCTTAAATAATAAGAGCGCATAACATACAAATGTTAATGAGAAGACCCCAAATGATGATGTCTAGTTTTAGTTTAGCTGTATTTAGCTTCAATTCATCATTTAATTTTTTTTTACATATTTAGCTTTTATTCATAAACTTGCACTCCTTTGGTCATAATACATTAATATAGGGCAAACATTACTTATTCCTTAATTAACAGACTTTTTTGTCACATTATTTTGATTATGATATGTTTTTGGATTTTAGGCACATTTAAAAAGTAATTTAATTAGTAAATTCCTCTGTGAAATTGAAACATTTTTGGGTTTCAGGGATGGACTTGTTTTGTTTAGTGAGTTTTCTAAGCTGTTACAAGAGCAGCCTCTAGTGGAGTTTAAGCAAACCTTTTTCCAAGGCCTTATTATTACTTTTTTTCCCCCACAGAATTTACAATTGCCTAATAATGGAAAAATGACATAATTGATAAGAAAAAAAGTACTTAACAAATTTCATTGTAATGATTTAAAAAAAGTTAAGAAGATTTTGTTTATTATTACTGGCCAAAAGAAATTGGTTCACAGCAGACTGCTAAATTATATAAAGCTAAAATAAAAAAATAAAAAAAGTATAATTGATGCATAATATCATAATAATTCTAGATAATCTTAAGGAGGTGCCAAAAAGAGATTGTAATTTGTCTAGTGTCTATGGGGTGGGAGGTTGGATGGTTGACTGCTGACTGTGATCAAGATTCCTCACCCCTCTCCCCCTTTACAGTCTTTCAGAATGTCTGTGTGGTTGTTTGACCAATGCAGCTTTTTTTTTTATTGCTCTACATAACCCCTGCCCTCATTTCCCACAACTGCTTGTGCTCTTGAAAACCAACAAACAAGCTTTCATATTGTCCTCTTGCTTGTAAATTGAAACCACACAGACAATAGTTGCAGTTAGTGGCCTGCCTGTGCTCAATAAAGCCACCGCAAAGCTCAGACAAAGTGGAAAAATATAACATCTAAGTTAACATCTAAAGGCATCATCTGTCAATTTACAGTTTCAATAAATCTTGTATAAACTGGTGTATATTTACTTTTATCGTGAAGCTTTAAATTGCTCAGAGGATCCAACATAAACATTAAAAACATATAAACAGTATATATATATATATATATATATATATATATATATAAGCTTATTATTTTTTTTTATTTCAGTTTTTTTGTTTTTAGCTTTCTTTACAGATACTCACAATTTTAGTTTCTTAGTTTTTAGTTTTTTTATATTCATAAATTTTCCTTTTTTAAAATATCGATTACACAAGGATAATATCCTTTTATAATCGAAAGGGTGGACTGTTGTCAGAAAAAAATTATTTCTCTTCTATTATATATTCATTTATCCTATTTACTCACTATAAAAGTTTTCACTCAGTCTGTTTCTCTCTCAAGGCCACACAGTTCTCTGCAGGATGGTGTTTCTAGACCAGACAGCTTCTTTCAATAACAAACTAGATTCTTTCTCAAGGTTTATTCATAACATGTTACTGTTTAACCAAAGTGTCTGTCATTTGTTTTGACTTTGACTACTTTTGCATTGTTGCAAGTTAGGGGGGACGAATGCTTCTCTAGCAGAACAGGGCAGAATGCTGTGCCATTAGGGCTGTATGATGACTGTTCTCTTTTTGCAAAGATATGAATAAATGTGCCGACTAAGTGAAATCCATCGATCTCTTTTTATTTAACTAGGGTGAATAGTTGAATACTTTTTTTTACCACGACAGGGGTGAGAAAATAATTGTATGTATGTATATATATATATATATATATATATATATATATATCTCCAATCCATAGGTGCATCTCTTTATCAAGTTATTATAGTGGAGAATTTTAACATTCTTCAACGCGTGATTTTAACCTCATGAGTTTTTAACATGAGTTTTAACGTAGTCTTTAATTTAAGGGTCTCGAACTGAAATCCTCAAGCCAGGTAGTATCTTGCAACTTTTAGGTGTGTTTTGTTCTATAAACCTGAATCAAAAGGCTAAACAATTGTGCTAGCAGCAGTCACGTTTTGCTAATGAGCTCATAGTGGAAGCAGGTAAAGCAGAGACCCATATAAAACCGGCCTTCAAGGATTTCAGGTCAAGACCCCTGCTTTAATGCAATCTTAGTTGGCTTCGCTCAAAATGTGCAAAGTCCCACACATTAAAATTTTCCTTCTTCCGACCTTAAGGTGATCCATAACTATATAAGCAGAAGACAGTGAGTACTGTTTTTCTGATAACCGATTCCTGTTCAATCTTTTAATCATATATGAAATCTAAATTCAAGGTTGGTAACATACAGTACAAATAAAACAAGATTGATTTACAGAATGGCAGCAGAGGCAAATACATGACAGAAGATATCAAAAGCAATCTCATAACAAAAAACAAAAAAAAAGTTTTCTGAAATATGACACCTTTCCTTTGGAAGATAGTGGCAAATCTCTGGCTTCCAAAAATAATACTACATAAAAACAAAATTCAATTGTATAATGGTCTTAATTATTTTACTTAATAATAATAATTACTTAATTATTGTCATTTATTATCTCTTCTTTAATTTTTTTGCACTGTAGTGGTTACCAATCTTCTGAAAGCCGCTTTTGAATTTTCAAAAGCATGTTGTAAGAGGGTGATTGTGTGTTTGGTTTACCTCAGAACTTAGAGTGACATAATCTACGAGGTGGTAATGTCCCAGTTTTGCAGTTGTGGGCAATCTCATTCTCTACTATTTGTATACCGCCACCTTTAAAACCATAACAACAGACAAAAACTGTGTTTTATTGGTTTTAAGGCTAGAATTGAAATTGTTCCTTTTGATTGGTTCCTTATGCTGTAATAATGATGAACATAATCCACAAACCAAGCTTTTAATCTAACACTAATGACTAAATTGTGTCTAAATTACCAAACAATATGCTATTTAATAGATAAATAGCATATTGCAACAAATAATATAGCAATAAATAATAGATTAATTAAAAAGACAAAGCCTTAACCCGGGGTTCTGTACAAAAATTGCAAAAAGCACATACACTCAAAAAGAGCAAACATATTAGATTCAATACATTATTTTTTGGATTATTTCCTGTAAAATATACAACTACCATATTGTAGGTGTATAGGTAAGAGTGGAGTTTCCTTCGCATTGATACAGCTTTACCACATTTACTTTTCTTTAGTCCCAAAAATGCTGAACAGACCTAAACTCCACCTTAAGTCACTAGATCTCAGATCCTTTAACCTGGAACGAATCACCAGTCTCGATTTAAACTTAATAGTTTCTGTCAGCCAATCAAAAAAGGTTTTCATCTCCTATATAAGCTAAGTTTCTTTCTGTCAGCTCATAATACAAACTATGAAGTGTTAAACATGGATCTAATTGTTTTATTTTAATGCACTGCCAAAAAAGTAAGTATTCAAGACTTTTCGCTGATTTTTAACATCTTTCTGAGAGAGAACAGTTAATATCCTTTCTAATATTCCTAACAGAAAGCTTTGTTCTGCCTGTTTTTTTTTAGAGCAGCTATTTTTCTTACTCTGACTACCTATGTGTGCTCTGTCATCCTCTGACATTGGAAATGGCTCAGAGCTCATTTGCCTGGCTGTGTCTTTCCTGGACAGGGGCACTTTTGGAGCCAGTTAACAGTTACCACTTGTATATCTGCTTGTTTTTGAATGTCTGTTTCTATCTCCTTCAACCACAGTCACTCTTGGGACTAGAAGCAAAAGAACCAGGCTACTGCTGAGCCTGGTTTTGCTGGGTGTTACTTCTTGTTAAAAGGGAGTTTTTCCTCTCCACAGTTGCTACAAGAAAGGATTGCTCTTGAGTGAATGACTCAAAGAGGTCAGCTGGTTTTCTTTAGAGAACTTTGTTCCAATCTGATTGTTTGATCTGGTTGAATTTTCTCTGTAACATGCCCACAGATTACATGTGATTTGAGTCGACGCTTTATAAATAAACTGAATTGAAATGTATTATATTCAGAAGCATGAATTTGATATATTTTTGCCCTTTCGTACAGGTGAAATGTTCAATAACGACACCACCACGGCTATCACTCAGGAGACTGAAATTAGAAGAGCTGAAGATGGTGAGACAGTGACTTCATCCTGCTCCTTTAAATATGATGCTGGTTCATAATTTTTGTGGTGCAAGCAAAAGCAGCAAACTGGAAAATCCTGGAATTTCCCCTAAATTGGAAAACAGATTCCCAGATGTGACAAGGTTCAAAAGAGATTATCGGTGGTCAGTGATCAGACTTCAGATTAATGAATGTGTTATTTGTGTTATTTTAACACATTCTGGAGTTTTTTCTCCATGACAAGAAATTTCCCTTAAAACAGCTCATTGATACCCTATAGCTGAAACTACTGCAACTTTGAGAATCTGTGCACAGTACCTGTGTTATATTTCAGGATACAAGGTCTCTGGTTGCAGGGTCTTACTACGTTGCTCTACCATCCTGTGGAGTGGTTGCTTGATAAATAAGTTCTAGAATAGAGTGCATTTTCCCTACATTTGAGTGGGTTTTTAAAATATCTGCGAATGGAATGAGTATTTTGGCCCCTAAATATGTGCCCTGTTTAAAATAAGATAATATTTTGTTATATGTAAAAGTCTTTTTTCCAGTTGAAGATTGTTTTACTTACCTATTCAAATCAATTACTTACTTTAAGATGAACTTGCCTTTATTTTTCTTTTTGGAGTGAATTGGTACGTCGTTATTAGCAGTTGTCCAATCACCTTAAAAGGAATGAATTTTATCATATAGACGTCTTAAATAACACTAATAATACCACTGGTCTTTTTTGTATTTTCTTGTCTCCAATAGTCCAATCCCTCCTAGTGTACTGTTTGAGTGTGGTTCTGGCACTATCCATCCTTGGGCTCCTTGGTCTCCTTGTTTTGTCTTCCCAAGTGCGCAGCCTAAACCTAAAGCTCTTGTCTGCCTGCAAAGGTAAGTTCATCAAGGAGGTTTTAATCTACCTGAATCAGCCTGAAAGAACTGTTCAGTCATGCTTTTGCTTTTAGAAACTGGCAACCTGAGATTTTCTGCAACCACACCAGTTTTGGTAGGTCCAATTTAAAAAATACCTTTTCAACTTTTCTTTACTTGTGAAGAGTGATTTTAATATATGCTGCACTGCATTATCTGTAGTGTTTCTTGACATTTTTTAGGGATGTTTAAAGCAGTTATAATCGCATATAAACCCTTCTTAGCCATTTGTGTAATGTTGGTGTTAATCACATTTACAACGCGTAAATGTGATTAACACCAACCGACGATGCCATCTTGTCTCCATGTTAGTTTAGTATAGCATTTTAGCTATGTATAGAGTTTAATTTAGTTGTAGAGTGTTAGCTAATTTCAGAAATGCAAACATTTCCTAACATAAAAAGTTGGTATGGACATGTATTTCTTAGGTCCCAGAATATGGCCGCTCACACTGAGCTTGGTTCTGCTGAGGGTTTCTTTCTTTTAAAAAGAAGTTTTTTCTCTCCACTGTTGGGGCATGCATGTTGTGTTTGATGTAGAGTCAACAACACAATGCTAGCAAACAGTGGCATCATGTGCAGGAATTTTCCCTGCAATCTTAGGGTTGTCGGTTGGAGCTGTGAGTCCGGCTTTCAGTTTTGTTGTGTCCTTTGGGCGAGACATTTCACCTCCATTACCTATTGATGGTGGTCAGAGGACCCATTTACAATATATTTTGCCATAATCAGTGTGTGTGTTTGTGCTTGAATGGGTTTATGACTGAATATAGTGTAAATCGCTTCGGTCAAGTCTCCATACTTGAAAAATTAAAGGCCATTTAACAAATTTCTATTCTTTCTACATGCTTACAAATCAGGTAAATTCAATAATAGTGCAATCAGCTAGTTTTCCCTTTATAAAAACTTTAGCCAAACTGACTGTATGACTTGATTGAATAGATTCTGTAAAGTGCCTCGAGATGACATGTGTTGTGATTTGGCGCTATTACAAACAACGGAATTCAACTGAAACAAATATTAGCTAACTTGTTGCAATAAAGATGTTGCTCCCTTTTTTATTGTCCACATTTATTTGTTTATTCTTTTGCTCTATAATTACTCCAACAAATCATGTTTAAATGATTAAACCAGAGGTTTTTTAAATCTTTCCCCTAGATCTTAACCTTTAATTATCACATTTTAAACATCATGAAATATTTAAGGTTGCTAGTTGCTTTTCAACGTGTTTTAACAACAAGAGGTTTCTGTTTTATTTTACTGATCAAGGTGAGCAAATATTGATTTTTCTTCATTTTTTTTTTTTTGTTTTTTAAGGCAATTTGTTTTAGCTTTTGTGATGTTAACACTTGTCACACAATGCAGGATGATGATGAACAGAGTCCCTATTATGCTGCTGTGAGTCTAAGGAATGGAAGTGGACAACAGAATCAAGAGGACCCAGACGGTGATTGTATGTACACCAAAGTAAGAGGCAGAAAAGAGCCAATGTCCAAAGCAAGAAACCAACAACTCATGACGGATTCAACCCTGTGTGAATGATGAAAACCCCCTAAAATAATTTCCTCAGCAATGTCTGCAAACCTCACTCATGTGGTGACTGTTTGGCCCTCCACTGTTGTGGTAAAGTTGTTGCTTTTGCAAAACAGAAGTTTCCACTGGTGGAAACAGAACTAAAACGTGAAGTGTTGGCATGCAGTCCACTTTAACCTGCTGTCACAGGTTAATCTTGCAGTACCTGCTGTATGACTAGAAAATGAAAGTATCATACTGACCCAAATATAGAACGACCACGATTATAAAACAACCTCCTCTTTTCAGGACCGTTTTTAGGAACAAAACAAAAAGACGCAAAAAAGAAAACACTAATAAACCAAACCTATTTGGTTTAAAGAAACTATTTTATGTTGAAGTGCAAAGAATTTTGTTAAAATAATACTGCATTGAAATATTTGTAGGTCTGCTCAGTGGAGGCATTGCTGCCTTGCAGCAAGAAGGTTCTGGGTTCAAATCCCAGCCCTGGGTCTTTCTGCATGGAGTTTGCATGTTCTCCCTGGATGGGTTCTGGCTTGCATGGGTTCTCTCCGGGTACCCCGGCTTCCTCCCACAGTCCAAAAACATGACTGTTAGGTTAATTGGCTTCTCTAGATTCTCCTTAGGTGTGAGGTTGTATGTCCTGTTTGTCTCGGTGTTGCCCTGCGATGGACTGGCGACCTGTCCAGGGTGTACCCCGCCTCTCGCCCATTGACAGCTGGAGATAGGAACCAGCACCCCTCGCGACCCCAATTGGGACAAGACTGTCAGATAATGGATGAATGGATGAAAGATTTGTGCAATTAAACAAATAAAAATTTTTTAAAAAATCACAGAAATCTTGCAACACTTCAACTCTAATGTAATCTAAACTTTCCTCACGGAACATCTCAAAAACCTGCATGAGGCAGCAAACATCCCCTGCTTCGCTGCCCTCACTGTCACTCCTACTTTTACCCTGCAGCTCTGCAATTTTTTGATAAGCTTTTATTTTGCTGTTCACATTTTTCCTGTCTTTTTTTAACTTTTTGTCATCTTCTGACATTTCATTCTGTAACATCATATTTCTTTGTTGCCTGACAGTTGTTTGATGCCTCCGCTGCGTTGACCACCATTATTTAAAAAATGGCGTCATTACTCCGCATCAAATGTTTGCAAACTTGGCTGACTTTTTATCCACTCCCTTCTAGGGAGCGATTCCCCATTTGTACCACCCTTGTCACTTCTTCTCTGTTGTGATAGAAAGATGACCCCAGCCAAGTCTCTGGCTTTACAAAAAATGGGAGCCCTCTGCTGTTGCAATCATGTAGCGACTCCAGGCAACTGTTGGCCTGTATAATGGTTATGATCCCATTTATAAGATGAATCCACATTTTCACATTGATTTTAATGAAAAAAATCTTGTCCTATATTCGGGTCAATATGGTACTTGTAATTCCTGCCCATTACAAAGTGTCAACCGTCAAAATGTGTAATACTGTATATATTAGCTGCTAGACCAATACATAAAAGTGTATATTGTAAAGTTTTATAATGGTGATCTAAATATTTTTTTAAATAAAACTCTATAAACTGTATTGTGTTGCTATTGTATCCTCTGACATCCTTAAATGATAACCAGTCTAACCAATTGTCTACAGAAAGTGCATATTTATGAAATAGTGTCCAGCGAAGTGATGGTGCCACTGACAGACTCATGGAGGCTGTTTCCTGTTTGCCAAAAAGAATAATTTAGGTCTCATTTGTTTACCAATTTTGCATTCTTTTCCCCTTATATCTTTGGGGGGGAAAAGTATTAATATGTAATCCAGTTAAATAAAGGAGATAAATTGTAATTCAGTCATAGCAGCAGTTATTTTTTTCATTGAATTTTTTATAGATATCTTAATATCTTCTTCTTTATTTACTTTTTTTGTTTGTAAATGATCTGTGAAGTGGATGGTTATAACTTATGACACCTTCTAACTAGGAAGAGAATGTGTGTTGTTACTCCAAATTAACAATGGGACCCTCCACTCTCTCATTAATGCTCTCACCATCTGTGGGTTACTTTATACTCAAGATATTTTTATTAATTTTAAATGGTAACTTAAACTGTCCTCTGGGATATACTCAAACGTTAGCAAATTGTTTTATAATATTTAATATATGTTTGGGCTTTTTTTGGTCTGCTTCTAAAGCATCATGTTATTAACAATCATGAACCTCTTGGAAACCAAACATGAAATATGTCTAAAGCAACAGTAGCATGGCTTATTCTTGTCCTGATGAAAACAAGGAATAAAAAAAAAAAAAAAAAGTCAGGATTATGTATTTTTTTAAAACAACATATTTTTTCCAAGATGAAAAAACACACACCTCTTGACCTTTGAAAAAGTTGAACGTACAAACAAACGAAAAAAAAAAAAAAAGCTCTCTGGCTGTACCACATCAACTTTGTTCTGGATACATTTCCATCACAACACTGCAGAAACACCAAGAGGTATGCAGCAATGAATATATCATCTACAGTAGGGTAATTTTCAAGTTGGACTGAATCAAGACCCTTCAACAAATGATGCTGTTTTTTGCTGGAAAATAGTGGAAAACTGTTAAGATTTTCATAATAAAAGGATGATGAATGATGAACATAATTTAACACAGATCAGACCAAATACTTAAAAACGTAACACAAATAAATACAAATATATAATTAAAAACTATTCAAATGAAAAAAAAAAACACAAAAAAGGAAAGCAAATGAAACATATTTCATGTTTATGTACGAGCTGTTCTAATTTCCAGATGGAAGACCTAATCGTGAAACTCTTTGGGTTCATATCTAGATTCCTAATCCCAAACTAATAACTATCCACACCTCAGTCCTGAATGTGACCCCTGACCCGAGCATTTACTCTCATGGGGTCTGGGCAACGGGCCCCACCACTGATCTCTGCTCACTGAATTGCTGATTGGCCGAAAAAAGTGAAGCCACCGACCGGCATGTTGGAACTCCCCACTCCCAGGGAGACATGCATTAAAAATGCCTACATGTGCAGCATTTGGCTGCAAAAAACGGGCAGTTTGCAGGCTATGGAAAGATGTTCCACAGGTAATTTCACAGTCAGTGGATGAACTAACCAAGAAAAATTAACATTAACATTAGTCCAGCCATCTTGGAATGACTTTGTCATGATTGGCTAAGGAATTTAACCCACATGCAGAACACTAAACTGGAGAAAGAGGAAAATTTAACAATGTTTATTAAGGAAAATACACAGCGTTAATGAGGACTGGTTCTGGTGCAGGTCCGGGACTGGGTTCACAGATATCTGAAGAGATGAGTTTGGTTAGCCAGGCAGTTAGATGGTTTGACAAAATAAGTTGAATTCAGATGATACCTTGAAGAGGTTCTCACTGATCCTTGAGAGGGGAAAACGGTTGGGTCCAGAGAATGTGAAAGTAGCAGAGAACTCGGCAGCAGCAGCCTCTAGCTTCTGACTAGAGAGTCTCAGACTTGGGTTTAGTTTTCTAGCTCTTCCCTGAGAGCTGAAGGAGGAATCCAGACTGAGATCTTCAGGTTCAGTTACCTAGCTCTTCCCTGAGAGCTGAAGGAGGAATCCAGACTGAGATCTTCAGGTTTAGCTTCCTAGCTCTTCCCTGAGAGCTGAAGGAGGAATACAGACTGAGATCTTCAGGTTTAGCTTCCTAGGGCAGGAAGGCAGGTTTCCAGGTGAAGCTCATCTAGAGCTTCAGACTTCAGTCAGGCTTTCTGTGAGCAAAGAAGACAGAGGCAGGTTAGAATCCAGTTTCTCTCTAGAGCCCACTGGAATTCACTAGATAAACAGAGGCTTGGGTTTGCTAACCAAACTTGGTCAACACTCCGGCGTCGAAGGAAGGTCTGACTGCTGCTTATGTAGAAAGGTCTCCTGATGGGTTGATGAGCTTCAGGTGTGCTAGAGGCTCCAGCCCAGGAGACCCACAGCGCTCTCTGCTGGAGACAGATGGTAGATCTCCAGATCCCAACAGTAACCCCAGTCCCTATCAGAAAACATATAACAGAAGAGGATCCTCGGCGCCCTCTGGTGGGAAAGCCTCAGGATCCCAAAAGAGCCCCCCCCTCAAGGGTGGATTCCAGACGCCCTCAGAACAGTCCATGAAAAAAAAGCAAACAAAAAACAACCCACCCAGGGAGGGCGGAGGGGGCACTAGGGCAAGGAGGGCCAGAAACAACAAAATTAATGTCCAAAAAACAAAAAACAACCCACCCAGGGTGGGCGGAGGGGGAAACAGGTAAGGAGGGCAAAAAACAAAAACTGAGTCCAGAACAGAAAACAATCCAGTTAAGGTGGACGACAGCGACGAAAGTCTCTGATGACTCATAAGACAGAGTTTCGGGTGGCCGGCCGTGGGACCGGCAGCAAGGCAGAGGTTCAGGTGGCCGGCCGTGGGACCGGCAGTGAGGCAGAGTCTCAGCTGACCGGCTGTGGGACAGGCAGAGGGGCAGAGTCTCAGGTGGCCAACCTGTGGGGTCGGCGGCGAGGCAGAGGCTCCGGTGGCCGGCCATGGGGCCGACAGCGAGGCAAAGTCTTAGGTGGCTGGCTGAGGGGCCGAGGATGTGGCAGAGGTTCTGGAGGCCAGCCGAGGGTCCGGCAGCGGAGCAGAGTCTTAGGTGGCCGGCTGCGGGGTCGGAGGCGAAGCTGACGCCCTGGGGGTCGGCCGCGGGACCGGAGACGATGCTGACGCTCTAGAGGCCGGCCGCGGGGCCGGAGGCGAAGCTGACGCTCTGGGGGTCGGCCGCGGGGCCGGAGGCGAAGCAGCTTCTTAGGAGGATGACGCCCCAATTTCAGTAGGTAGCCCCAAGGGGTACCCCGTCCCCTCTTCAGCGGCTCTGGAACAGGCTCCGAGGTGACCGCCAACTGCGGCTCTGGAACAGACTCTGATGTGACCGCCGACTGCGGCTCTGGAACGGGTTCTGTGGTTGCCGCCGACTGCAGCTCTGGAACAGGCTCTGAGGAGACCGCCGTCTGCGGCTCCTGGACTGGAACAGAGGAGACCACCGACTGCAGCTCCTGGACTGGAACAGAGGAGACCCTCGACTGCGGCTCCTGATCAGGAACAGAGAAGCCCGCCGATTGCGGCTCCGGATCAGGAACAGAGGAGCCCGCCGATTGTGGCTCCGGGTCCGGAACAGAGGAGCCCGCCGATTGCGGCTCCGGGTCAGGAACAGAGGAGTCCGC